TAATCCTTACTGTATATAACTCTGTAGCGTCTCGCTCGAACTCAACGCGCAGGGCGCGTTTCTCGCATCGCTCAACGCTACGAGTTTCTTGATAACTCTGTAGCGTCTCGCTCGAACTCAACGCGCAGGGCGCGTTTCTCGCATCGCTCAACGCTACGAGTTTCTTGATCTCGCTCGAACTCAATGCGAAGGGCACGTTTCTCGCATCGCTCAACGCTACGAGTTTCTCGCTCAAAAATGTATTTGGCTCGAAACTCTACCGAGTTTCTTGATTGTACAGATGTTGCACATTATCTGTGATTTTACTTTTTCATAAAATTGTTAAAAATATGTATCAAATTTATTAAAAGTATTTTATGGGGAACAAGGTATGTCAAATGAGCTGATAAAGAAATTCAGTGTAGGTCGAAATGCTTAATTACTTTATTCTTATGGTATATTCCTTAAATAATATTTTACTGTTAAATCTGTTAACTATAACAAAATCAATAAGACCAATTAAATTTACACAAAAATAATTGATACAATAAATAAGGATTTTTGTAATTACACTAGAATTGCTTTATCAGATCATTGAACTGATACATCAGGATTTGATACACGTCTTATAATCAATCTCACTCTATTATAATACAAACATATTTCATATTCTTACTGTTTACACCTCATGTTTACACCTTACTGTTTACACCAAATGTAATAAAATGTTTTTCTAAATGTTTTGTTGACATTTCGGTTCCTCTTGAATAGTCTTGATCTAGGTTATAATAATCCAAATGTTCAGATTATTAGATGAAACAAATTCACTAAATTAATATTATTTCCATAAAAATGGCCAAAAAATAAATTCACAATCTTACACTTGTATGGCTTACAATTGTAGTGTGCAATATTCTTGAAATTACAGCAAAATTTTATTAACATTATAGGAATATAAAAAAACCTTACCAGCGTTGATGCTTATACTTTAATTGCACCCACTGCGTCATGTAATGTTATTCGAATCGTATTACTTATACTTTTTTGTGACCTGTATATACACACGTATATATAGATAAAGTCTTGATGATTTTACAATATTTGACTATAATTTTAAAGTTCATCTCTGTGTGTAAATGATTGTAGAATATTCCGTCTGTTTTCCATTGCTCGTTTTTTTTCAGTTGGCAGATTTTCTTTTAATAGGCCACTTATTCGTGTTTCCTCAGTTTGAATAAAGATATCTCCTCTTTCAAGTATCCTTTCCATTGTCTTAACATAGACTTTTGTTGCTGCCCGTTGCTCTTCCGGTAACGTTTGCTCATAGATCTTAGCTCTATTAAGAATTTCCTACAATAAAATTGAAAAGAAATGTTAAGAAAAATGTTTAACTACTTTACAGAATCACAAATATTATTTTGTGACTTTAGGAAAAATATTTTAGAAACATTAAAAAAAATATAGGATTCACAACTTCATATTATTTCAAATTCAATTTCTCTACTTGAATTTTCACTACTTCTTCACATTTGTTTTTCAGATATCCATTGTAATCTAGGAATCATTTGTTTTTGGTTTTTCTTTGATCAATCAAATGTATTTTAAATTCTTAATAAAAATAGTGCCAATGCTGAATTATACTCTAAATTTAACTTTTAAAATAATGCTTGTAATAGACTTACTTTTCTATCCTTTTCGTTGGCAGTCTTGAATTCTTCTGCTAGTTTGTCCAGTTGTTCTATGCAACCTGGAAGACCAAGATAGATATCGGTCTTTGCTCTCACAAACCGCTTAATATTATTTGCATTAAAATCTTCATCCTTTTCTGCTATAAATTTCAGAGGCTCTGTTTTCCCCTGAAGAAATAATCGAACTGCAGGGAAATTCTCTTTCTTAATATCGTAACGCTTTGCGAGGTCTGAATTATCCTTGTTGCCATAGTCCTTTATACCAACTTCAGCAACTAAGAGATCTGGAGAGTCTTTAGTAGCAGCTGCTATTTTACCAAACTGCTCGTGCTTTTCGCCATATGGAAAAGCTACGTCAAACTTGACAAGGGCAGCTTTGAATTTAGAAATTACCTAGAATAAGTGATAATAATAATTGGTTAACGTTATTTGGTTCTATTGTAATTGGGATATGTAAAATCAAATTCCCACATGGGCAATGTAAATAAGGACTACCTATCGGTAGTATCATAGAGTTGAGTAGATCTCCATGGATAAGCATAAATTAGTAATAATCAAGACTATTTTTTGCACCGAAAACAAGTCGATGTAGTTTTTACATTCTAAGAAAAATGCTTCAGACTCTTGGCAATTTGTAAAACTTTTATCTGTAACATCGCTACTAAATTGTTTTTTAGGTTGGTGAAAGAAATCCTTGATTGCACTTGACAAATCATCTTGGAATCTAATGATTGCATTAAAATACGAGCAGTTACAGTGAATGTTTGCCAAAATTAAATTAGATTTGAAAAAGCATATGTGGCAAAATGATTCATTCAGGGAGGCATTACCATAGTAATAATCAGGTATACATCTAGCACGAAGGTCCAAATTCTACGCTGTGTCCAATAATGGTTACTTAAAACATAATAAACTCGCATCAAGATAAATAATGTCAATACCTTGTCAAAGGAATAAGAGTCCAACGGAACGCATCCTTTACAGTCCTCGGCAATGGATACATGTAAACCCAAGAATACGAGAAGCAAATAAAATGGAAGCATAGCTTGCTTGGTTACTCCTGTCGCTATTTTAGCACCCTCTACGGGAAGGTCCTACTTTTCTACACGTTGAACCCTTCGACACTACTGCACACTATAGCTGCGTTTATTGCACCCTGTAACAGATTGCATGAAGCTGTCGCTTCTTTTGTATTCGCTGTTGTCACGCGTGTACTTGACACGTTTCTATACTGCGCTTATCATGATTGGTCGATAGGTGTGTTCGTTTGCTCTCGACCTTCTCCGCCGGTCACGTTGGATGAGTTCCTTTAATTGAGGTTCTATTGTTCTTTTAATGGAAATTACTCGTGAGCTGTAATATTTCCTCTATTCACGATCAAATACGCCATATACGAAAAAAGTGCCGTTGACGACTTTAAATTTCACATATGACGAACTCGATACCCAGGGTGTGGTAAGCTCATGGTCGCTCGGGTAATTGCCCACAGCATTATAACATTTATTATAAAACACGTTCGTTTTTTTTTTCTTTTATAATATAATAATAAATATTGAAAACGAATATTTTTTAAGAGGTTGATCAATTGTACACTGTACAGCACAAAAGGAGAGAAACATTAAAACTTTGAAACGAGTATTTGATCATCTTGATGCGACGCGGCGCTCTGAAGACTCAACCAGAACGCAAATAAAACATTGAAAAATTGTTTCATTATAAGTTACTAGCTTTGGTTTAATATGATCCTATAGTGACCAAAGTGTCTAAAAAATCGATTTTTGTTTTAAAAGCGACAGAAACTTCTCCAATTAATGCGTTTAAAAAATAGTCAAATCTTAAGTTGTCTTAATTCACATGCTTAATGCACATGCTGGTTCAAACACTCTCAAATAGTACAGACACAATAATTCACTACAGTTATCACCACAGCTTCCTTGTGAAAGCATTAACCATTCCTTCAATGATATTTTTAAAATAGTACATAGAAATGTGGTTAACGTATATTTGAAAAGTCTTTTCCGCAAATACAAGAACAATTGAACAACCCCGTTAGATTAAAAAAACACCATTACAAATACGGTAAGTGTACTTGAACAACGCGATTTATCTTACATTACCTATAACCCAAATAGTCAAACAATACGAATAATATAAATGTTTAAGCAATATCTCCATACATGTTGTTAAGCGTTAAGTTAAATGAGTTTCTCGCTCAAAAATGTATTTGGTTAAATTTTCTCTAAAATGACGTTTTTTGATTGTTTCACGTACCTTTGGGGTCTCGTTAATTGGATGCTGAAAGTTTGAGGTTCAAAGAAGAGTTCTGTAGCGCTGTCGCGCGTGATAGCATGTAATTTAACTAATCGAACTATTTCTTGAGATTAACTGGATATTACCTATGTGAATTGCAGTTAGTAATAGTTGCTAGGAATTTGTCGAGGCACGGAACAGCGGTTAGTTACGTGTTCTCGGCCGTTGGTAACGAATGCAAACATGCCAAAGTCCAACCTGTCTTCCTCCAATCAGAATCTGCCACCCACCGCAGATGCCGCGAAGACCATTGGGAGCAGGAAAGGCCGCGAATTATAATCATCCTTGTCGCGCATGCGTACTTAAAATTTTGACGTGTCCATCTAAATGCTAAGAACATTTTTCGTTTCATCTCTAGTATACACGGTCACGCCGTAATTGTTAGACATGACATTGATAGTACACAACCATTTTGTGATAAAAGTAGGTATACTTCATCAGAGAAAATTGAGACTTTGTAGTATGGCTACAGTTCCTTGACTAAAATGTTTTTTTATTTAAAAATTCCTCATGGATACAAGATCACAAGGTCAAAATAAAATCTCTTCAAAAAACACCTACGGTGTAAAAAAAACTTTGCCAAATACATTTTTATTTCCGACTTCAATTACAAAAATAGCTCAACAATGGAAATCAATTATCTTTGCCAAATACAATAGTACTTTCATACTATTAAAACTCTAATCAGTTATTTTTCCCAAATGTCATAGTATATTTTCCCCCACATAATACAAGTACATCCATTCCAAAAAATTTGTTTTGCCTCGGAATAATGTCTGGGAAAATGTTCAGTTTTCTACTTCATCTAATAAAATAAAAAAATATATAAACTAAATCTAACCATATAAATAAAATTAGAAACTCAATTTGAAAACAACATTTTATTTGGCGAGCACTAAAATAGTGATGATAAGTCGTACGAGTATACTTCCAGTGCTCGCCAAATAAAATGTTGTT